ATGGAGCATTGATTGCAATAGATATATACTATGGAATAAATCTCCTATTTTTAAGCCTCCATATAAATCTATAAATCATTTATATAATAAAATCGCAACAATATCTTTTTAGTTAAATAATTTCCATCAAAGTAGCTCATGGTGTAGTTCATGCGAACTTTGAATAAAATAATTTCCATCAAAGTAGCTCATGGTGTAGTTCCTGCGAACTTTGGTCCGGGGCAAGAACATGTTACCTCACCATTAAGGGGCATTTCTTTTTGTACTATTGGAGAAATCCTCAACGGCAGGATCACTTTTTTCGGTACCAACGTATATAAAAGGATATTCACTACCACAATTATTTCTTCACGTCATTCACAACGTTCAGAGAAAAAAAAATTATACAGATAAATTTTAGAATACAACAATAATATCATGCCGTCGGTCTGGGATACACCCAATTCCGTGAGTAGGACAAACAAACCTTATTTGCGATTGAAAGCAGTCCGAATATTTGAAACGCATCACGAACGAGAGAGCTGGAATGCATTCCATATATTGTTTCATGATGAACATGTAAATATTTTTATTAGTAATATCAAATTTATAAATTTATTTTATAAATTTATTTTTATTAGTATTCTGAATAATTTATTTATTTTTTGTGAAAAAATATTTTAATTATAATTTATAAATTTATTTTGTAGGGTGCATATATTAAGGACATAATACGTTCTACAAATATGAGAGCATTTCGAGGTGTACTGAACGAAGGCGAGGTGTATGCAATCAGCAACTATGTCGTTGAATTTAATCATGGGAAGAAAGATATCATAACCAACATATAAAAACTTGTGCTTCACAAAAGAACTCGTGTTATCAAATATGGTGGGATTTTCCCTCAAAATGGTGATTTTTTCCCTCAACATTAGCAAGGAGCGTGAGATATTTATGATATTTTAGGGTTTGATAAGAATTCCAATTTACATTATGAATTTCATTGTTATTCCATGTCCTTCAAGGTTATTATTTGTAATATATTTATTGTTTTATTAATTTTATTATGTTTTATTGTCATTCCATGTCGTTGATGTAACTCCCCGTTTGATTATGAATTATTGGAGTTATTATTATTATTATTATTATTATTATTATTATTATTATTATTATTATTATTATTATTATTATTGTTATTATTTCCGGATTAGTTAAATAGTACTCGATTATTTGATTTCTGCGTGATTATATTGCTCATTCTACTTTTATTCTTTTTATTACTATTATTTATCAATTAGTCGAATTAGTCGTCTCGAATTTTATTTTGTTCGTTCGTTGTAATTCGAGTATGAACTAACCTCGGTCAAACCGCACCCAAACTCGAGATCGCGTGCGCCAACC